GTGCTATTTGCATATAACGAATCCACACCCTACCAACACTTTATATAATCTCTAGATTACTTGTAATGCCTGCTACGTTATAAATGTTATGTAAATAGTTGTTATGCTGTCTTATTTAGGGGAAAAAGACAAGGAGAACTATGTGCATGTTTCGGGCAGACAAAATGTTTTCCAAATAATTTTGACCCATGGTTGGTTTCTACAGCTGTGGAAACCATGGATATGGAATGCTGAGTATATAATGTATAAGTATTGAATCAAGCTCATTAGCATATTTATCACCTCAAATGCATATCATCATTTATTCCTCCTTTCTGAGACATTATGCCCTTTAATCAACCTCTGCCCATTCCCCCAACTTCTCAGCTGCTGATAAACCACTATTGTGCTATTTGCCTCTATATGTTTGATTTTTTTTCAACTTCCTCATATATATTCCACCCGCATATTTGTCATTCTGTTCTTATCGTGTTTAGCATAATGTCCTCCAGGCTCTCCCATGCTGTCACAAATGATATAATTCCCTTCTTTTTTAAGACTTTGTATATACACCACCTTTCTTTATCCATTTATCAGCTGATAGACACTTAGGTTGACTACAAACGTTGCACGTTAAAAATATTACTGCAACGAGCAAGAAAGTAACATATCTTTTCAACATCTCGATTTCAAATCCTTTGGATGGGGGATGGGGATGTAGCTCAGCGGCACAGCGCCTGCCTGGCAAGCACAAGGTCCTGAGTTCAATCCCCAGTACCAAAACAAACAAACAAACAAATCCTTTGGGTATACGTGATAGTGGGATTGCTGGATTATATGCTAATCATTTCTAGTTTTTTTTTTGAAAACCCTCCAGACTGCTCTCTACAGCGGCTGCATTAATTTACACTCCACCAACAGTGTGCAAGATTGACCTTTTCTGTGAATCCTCACAAATATTTATCTGCACTTTTTGTATAATAACCATTTGGATGAGTATGAGATATCTGATTTCAGTTTTAATTTGCATTTCACTAATGATTAATGGTGGAGAGCATTTTCTAAATATATCTGTTGACCATTGGCCTTTCTTCTTTTGAAAAATGCCTGTTTAGGCCTTCCCCCCATTTTTAATCAGGCTACTTATTTTAGTGCTATTGAGTTGTGTTCCTTATAGATTTTGAATAGTAACTCCTCATCAAGTACATGGCTTGCAAATATTTTCTCCCACTTCATGAGTTACCTCTTCATACTGCTATTGCCTATGGTTTGCCGAAGGTTTTTAGTTTGATACAATCCTATTTGTGTATTTTTGGTTTTGTTGCCTTAGTTTTGGGGATCAAGTCCAAACGTCATTACCCAGAATACTGTTGCATAGTTTTAGGGAAAACCTGTCTTGTATTTGAACAAATGGCTGATGCAAATAGGTATTCAAGTCATGTGACTATTTACTAATGATAACAAGTCATGTGACTAATAATGATAACAAGTCATGTGACTATCTAATAAAGTGCATTTCATGCTGAGCAAACAGAGAAGGAAAGGAAATCATATAAAGGCCTATAAGAGAGGGTTAAGTAAAATATAGTCAATATATTTAAGAGATAACCATGCAGACATTAAAATCTGGCCTTTGTTATACTCAGCAGTATGAAAAGAATTTTTAAAAATTTCTTGAGTGTATAATTTTATCTGATTAATATAAAAGTGTGTGTGGTTGCATGCCTGTGTTGTATGTATGTAGGTAATGTATGTATAGAGAAATATCTAGAAATAGCTATACAGAAATATCACAAATTCTTCACAGTGGTGGTTTCTCAGACATACGCAAAACAGAGATGATTGAATGACACTTGTTGCTTCTCTTACCAGAATACGAACTCCATTAAAACAGGTACTTTGCAAAATACCTTGTCCCTACTATCTAGGTATGTGGTAAGCACCCAATAAATATTTGTTGAATGAATGAGAGTGAAAGAGAAAAGAAAATGCAATTTATGCAGGGACCAAATAATAATTCAGGTTGCTAGAGTTCGGGGCCATGGAGGGCAGCAAAAGAGATACAGTAAGCATCTGAGCAGATATGTCGGGGCAGGTCCTTGAATACTAGCACAAAACCAGACTTCCTTCTCCAATAAGTGGGTAACCATTGCTCACCAAGATGGAGGTAGAGGGTGGATTTCAATCTACTGTATAGCATGAGGGTTGCTCTTTTCCATCTCTAGCTACAGTGACATTACTAATAACACTGTCCATGAACAAACAAGACATTTAAGACATCTTCTTTCAAGCTACTAATGGATGGGGAATTTTGAGGCACTAAGACTCTGGGGCTTAACATTCACTAGCTGGTTGATGGAGGCCCAGAAAACAAAGTGACAATGCACCCATTTCTCCATTTCAATCTGTGCATCACCATCTGCTGTGCTGATTCCCATGGTGGCTGCCGTGGTGAAGACAGAATGAGGATGACCCCGGAAGTCAGAGATTTATGGATGCCAACATAAGACAGACTAAAAGCCTGAGATCACAAGGAGCCGTCTTCTTGATAGTTCATCTTTAGTCATGCTAGGATTTTGTACTTTTTATACTGAGGCCTTGTGTAGGCAAGCACAGGCCACAGAATTAATTCTATTAATCAACCTTTTCGTCATCCTCTATATTATCTCAATTACTTTTGTCTTTGAAAAGTCCTTAATTATTATTGAAGAGGTTTCCTGACATTCACTCCACCCCCTTCAAACCAACCTCGCAGAAGACAGTAATTTTTCTTTAAGTACAAACGCTATTCCCAACTCCAAACTCCTCATTACTCCAAGCTCCTCATTGGCTCCATGTTGTCCTTGGGATAATAGCAGAGTCCCTGGCATTGTCTTTAGGACTCTGCCTATCCCTAGGCCAGTGTGACCTTTGGCTACACTCTCCGCACCCACTCTGGTCCAGCCCTTTCACAGTCCTGCAGACCCCAGGTGTGTCCCACTCTTTCTTTTTTATATTTTTGAAAAAATAAAAAAAATTTCATAATCAAGTAATGAAAATAACAGTTGCTATTACACTATGTATCAATATCTTTAAAGGACTCAAAGTACAAGACATAAACCAAAGAGATTCTTATAAAAAAGAAACAAACAGCTAATAACTCAAATCTTTCTTTTCGATGAACTAAGATGAACTAGTAATATGAATGAAACCAATTAGCACATATTGTGTATTAAAATAGTTTTAAAACAATGGGATTTATAATTTTGGAAAATATTTGAACTTCTCCCTACTTCTTTTTTTGTTGTTGTTTGTTTGTTTGTTTGGTTTTTCTCCGGTACCGAGAACCAAACTCATGACCTTGCACTTGCCAGGCAGGCATTTTTGCTGCTGAGCTAAATCCCCAGCTCCTCTCCCTACTTCTTATTTATCTCTCTTGTCTCTCTGTCTCTTTCTCTCTCTCATACACACACACAGACACACACACACACACACACATCATAAATGGAAGTTGGACTTTGTCAAAGGTCTTTCTTTCATCTATTAAGATGATTGTGTGGTTCTTCTGTTGCTTCTGTTTGCATGGTGAATTATATTTTGTCATTTGTGTGTGTTGAACCATCCTTGAGCCTCTGAGATGAAGCCTATTTGGTAATGGGGTATGATCTTTTTGATGATTTGTCACATTTTCTTTGCCAGTATCTTGTTAAGAATTTTTACATCTATGTTCAAGAAATTGGCCTAATTCTTTTTTGCTTGAATTTGTGTCAGGTTTAGGGATTGTATTCTGCATTTTCTAAACATAGACCTTTTCCACACTGTCTGGAATTGTACACCTCTCTTCAGCCATCTGATCAGCTCCCATTCATTTTTGCAGTAGTCTAACGTCACTGCCCTAGGGATGCCCCCCTCAGTCTCATGTACCAGGCCAGGCTAGGAAAATGTAAGAGGATCTCATGGCATCCAAGAAGCAGTTCTCTGTGAATGCATACAATTCAATTATAGTTACATAATTATTGGGCAATTTTTCATTTAATTTAATTTTCCACATTGGATGGACCAAGTTAGTCCTGGTATAGAGCGGGCCTTTGTAACTTACTTAAGCTTTCTTTTCAGTACTGTTATCTCTTACAACATTAGTGGGTTATATGTGATTAATGTCAACGAATGTGGCATATTTTAACCAACTTGGTTATGAAAGGGAGGAGAGAGTTAGGAGGGAATATGGAGGACATAGTGGGGTGGCCTCAGCCAGCTTGTACAGGCAACAAAATACTGAGTGGCTTAAACAACAAAACTGAATTTCTCACAGTTCTAGAGATTAGACATCCCAGATCAAAGTGCCAGTGAATGGCTTCTGGTGAGAGCTCTCTTTCCGAGTTGTAGACTGCTGACATCTCCTTGTGTTCTCACTTGGCGGGGAGATGGAGAACTTCGGGGCCTTTCTGTTCTTAGCAAGGGCACTAATCTTGTTCTGATGTCCTGACCCTCATAATCTTATCCAGACCAGATTATCTCCGGGAGGCCCCGTGTCAATGTCATTACACTGGGTGTTACTGTTTCAACATATGGGTTGGCAGCTTGTCACAATAGCCATTCAGCCCACATGCAGACAGCAAGCCCCAAACGAGAGAGGAGAGGTAAAGCTTCAGGAGAGAAAGGGGAAAACTGTAGGAGGTGGGAGAAGAAAGCAAGAGAGCATTGATGGAGAAGATGGCTCTGTGTCAGGGACAGAAACTGCTCCCAGAGTGATGAAAGAAGAGAAGGGTGTGCTCCGGTCCCCACAAACTCTGCCACATGTGGTGCTGAGCTAGGAGAGTTCTCGCTCAGTGGTTTCAAATTCCCTTTGGAAGCTGCTTGCATGAGTGTCTGCTGAAGGGCTGGTGGAGTTTGAGGAGAAGGAACAGGTTTGAAAACAGTTCTGTGGAGAATAAGGAAGAGAGCTGCTACAGGCTAAATATTGGTGTCCTCTCCCCCAAATTCATATGTTGAGATCCTAACCCCTCAAATGATGGCAGTAGAAGATGAGCTCTTTGGGAAGTGATTAAGTCATGAGGGTGCAGCCCCCATGACTGAGACCAGAGCCCTCACTAGGACCTCAGAGAGCTGCCTCATCCCTCCTTCCATCGTGTGAAGACCCAACAAGTTGGTACCATCTGTAAGTCAGAAAGAAAGCACCCGTCACATATTGAATCTGCCTTAACTTGGATTTTCCAACCTATAGAACTGTGAGAAATACATTTTTGATGTTTGTAAGCTACCAGTTTATGGTATTTTATTCTAGCAGCCTCAGAAGACTCAGACAAGAACTGACCAGACAGACCCTGCCAGAGTGGATGGATCGGGAGAACTGGCTCACCTCGAGGGTCACAGGTATCAGATTCATATTATACCATTCAATGAATTGGGTGGACCAACTGGTGAATGTGAAAGATTAACATTTTTTAGGGCAAAAATAAGAAAGGAAAAGAAGCACAAAAGAAACACTCAAGGAGAAAAGAATGCTTCGAAGGAAAAAGAGAAGTCATGCAAACAGAATGGGCAAGAGGGCAATGGCCACAAAGTCAGTTACTGTATCTTTTTATATCTTCCTGGATAGTTGATCCATTGTCCTGCTTGATCTCACACTGGAAGACTGGTTCTTGGCTCAGCTCGTTCTTGTGTCAAAAGATTGATGTCAGGTGCCAGATCTTCTGCCAGGCATGGGAGCTGCTGCTTTGCACTGTGGTCAACAGGTCTCTTCAATTGGTCATGCCCAATTGCTCTGGCCATGTCGCATACCTTAGTCTCCTACTTCAAAGTGCTCGATGCTATGAGTTGTTTCTCCAGTTGTGACCTCAGGCCAGTTAACATGTGTAAAAAGAAGCAGGCCCAGGAACTGAGAACATTTACTAGAAAGTGGCTGCTGTGGGGGCCCTGGGCTGTACCAGTGGTATGGAGGTAGAGAGGACTGACTGATGGGATTAAGTAAGGAAGTTGAGCTCTGTGGAGAGAATAACAGTAGGGAATCCTGGAGTGGCAGAAGATTGCAGTCAGAGAACAGAGTGTTTAAACGCAAGATTTCAGAGAAGAAGCAGTTCTTGGCGATGCCACCACTCACCTTGTGACCTTAGGAGTGAGTAGGGGAAGGGAAGTAGTGGTAAAAGACCTGGAAATGGAGACGATAAGATTGCAGAGCACAGTGAAGGATCTATGACTTAGAGTTGGTCATGCTAGGTAAGTGTGCCCCCCCGCTACAAAATTGCATCCTAACAGGCTGACTTTCTTCTGGGAAGGTTTCTCATTTCACAGCTCTGATTCTCCTTGCAGCTGGCTTAGCTGCCAAGAAGGTGGTCATTTGTTCCCTCTCCACCTTTATCTCTCTACTTATCAACTCTTTACATCTTAAAGCTCTTTGAGACAGATACAGAAATAGAAAAAGATAGAGGAGGTAGGAAACTGATAAACAGGAGCCACACATGCCACTGAAATCACAAAATTCAGTTGACATTGACATTTATCTGATATCTGACGCTTGCTCTTGGCTTCCAAGACTAAATGGAAATCTTTGCCTTTTAAACAATTCTGGTATGGGAAACCTTTAGGGTAATCCTACCTGAAAGCCAGCCACTGTGAAGCCTGCCAAGCAAGAAATTTTCCTTCATATGGCAAAAAATGAGATTAATAGTGACAATAACTAGTATTCTCCAGCAAGAACCACTGTTGCAGCAAAAGTGGGTCCAGGAAAGGAATGACACCCGAGGAAGTTTGGAGGCAGTGAACAGCTTTGTTTTACACCCGTGGTCCTGGCTGGGATCTTTCCCTTAACAGAGCCAGGTAGGCGAGTGCTTATGGACTAACACTTGTATATGATGCATGAGCAGGAGTTACAAAGGCGGGACAGAACAGCCTGGCAGTTCTCTGATTAGCTAGCAGGGTGAGATCGTTGGTTACATGGCTAGATTAATGATCATCAGTTATAAGACCAGATTAATGGTCATGGAGCTTGTTACAATTAGACATCCACATGTTTGGTTACGCTGTCATGATCACAAGGGTCGAGAAAGTAATTACAGAGCCATGAAGCAGTTACAGAGCTAGACAGTTTCAAAAAGAACAAAGTTTTTAAAAGACAATTTTTCTTGTACAGTTTTTCCCTTTCACCGCCAAAATTAGAAAGTATCTATGATGGTTAACTGATTGTGCCAACTTAAGTAAGAAACACCCAACTAAACTGGATCAGTGTAGTTCCGAGTACGGCTGAGGGGACTGACTGATGGCAGAAGACCCGCCCTAGGGCAGCTTGTCTCCTGAATGGTATAAAGGGAAAACAAAGAACGAAGGCTCAGTTCTGTTTCTTCAGAGGAGCTCCAGTCTGCATCTTCACCTTGGATGTCATCTCTGGCTTCCATTGCAGACCTTTCAGCCTCCTGTTACGGACTTGCATGGGACCCTACACTGAACGTCAGGCCTTCAACTGGATCCTTCAGCTCTCCAGTGCACAGACAGACCTTTAGCACTTCTCCACATCTGACATTGTAAGCCAATCTTGTAAATTCTTATGTATTACATATCTCACATTAAATGTGTTTCTCTAGTAAGCGCTTGTTGATATAATATCCTAAGACCATTTCCCTCACTCATGGCAGACATCACTAGTAGATCATTATACTTTTTCTATAGAGGTCAGATATAACTTTGAAATTAAGGTGACAGAAAAATTTATTTTCCAAGCTATGACACCTATGAGATTGAAAGTGACAACTGACAATAATAAAATGCATAAATATTGAAATTTTTATTAACTCACTGACATATTGGTTTATTTTGCTGGCAGAACTTTAAACTAGCCTTACTCAAAAACTTTTTTCAGTGACAGGTGGTTGTAGTCTCAGTTGTTCAGAAGGCCAAGCCAGGAAGGTCACAAGTTCAAGGCCAGCCTGGGTAGCTTAGCAAGACACTGTCTCAAAACAGCAAAAAGAAATAAAACCTAGAAATATTTTCAAATTTCTTTCTAAAAATAAACCTGGAAGCCGAGGGCAGGCAAAACAGCATGCACCTGTAGTCCCAGAGCTTGGGAGGCTGAGACAGAGGGACTGCTTGAGCCCGGGAGTTCAAGGCCAGTCAGGACAGCATAGTGAGACCCATTTATATATCTGTATTTAAATAGATAATAATACTGTGTCACCAGTATTCCTATAAAGAATGCAATTTTTAAGTATAATCTAATCCTCATTTGTGTATAGAATCACTTGTAGTCTCTTATGTTGATTTTATAGTTCATAAATTTTAAGTTCTCAACACCCTTGATGACTCCTTCTAATGAACTCAGAGCAAGTTTTGATAACAAGAAAGAACCCTTTCTATCACTTTTTTCTTACTGAAATGTTTAATTTTAACCCAAATTTATTTTCCAAGCTATGACACCTGTAGATATTTTGGCATCTTGTCCCTATTCAGAATATCTTCCTCTGACAGATATTTGTATATAACAAATTTGTCAGATAAGTGGGCTCTATGATTATTTTTGATTTACTATATTTAGAACTTTGGAAATCTTAGCCATTTTCAATTTCATTCCTTTAAGTTTCAGCCCAGTCTTAGAGATACTTCAAATATCAATTATAGAATTTCAAAATTAAATCAGTACAACTTTTGAGCCCTTTGTATATAATTTGTTCAGTTTCTCCCTGTTATATAGGAATACACTTCAATGTTTGTTGATTGCAAGCTTTAGTTTTTTAAACTTGTAAATTTTAAAGGCTTCAGAAGCTGGGTTTTCTTCCTTTTTTGTATTCTATTTGTTAACTGACTTGGTCAAAAAACTAATTCATTTTAAGGAAAATGCAATCAAGTTAGAAGACACAGTCCTACTTTTAACAAAATCATGACTTAAAATACAAGCAACAGGATAAAAAAAGCACATAAAAATCAATAGCATTCCTGTACACAAATAATGAACTCACTGAGAAAGAAATCACAAAACAAGTCCATTCACAACAGCTTCAAAAACTTGAATACCTAGGAATGAACCTAATCAGGGAAGGGAAAGACCTGTGTATGAAAATTACGGAACTCTGAGGAAAGAAATTAAACAGTATATTGGAAAATGGATCCATTGTTCTCGGATCAAAAGAGCTAATATTATAAAAATGACAATATAACCCCCAAAAATATAGATTTAATGCAATCTTGATTAAAATACCAATGACATTCTACACAAAATTAGAAAACAACAATCCTAAACTTCATAAGGAATTGGAAAAGATCCAGAATAGCCACAGCTATCCTGAGCAAAGAGAGCAAAATGGAAGCATCACAATACTGGATTTCAAGTTAAACTAGCTAGAGTAACAAAACACCCGGCACCGGCATAAAAACAGGTATGCAGAGCAATGGAATGGGGACAGAAGGCACAGAAACAAGCACGTCCATCTACAGCATGACAAAGGGGCCAAAAATATGTGTTGGATGAAAGATAACCTCTTTATCAAATCGTGCTGAAGAAACTGAATATTTACTTGCAGAAGATGGAAATTACATTCCTATCTCACACCCTGTACTAAAATCCAATGGAAATGGATCAAAGATCTAGATACGAAAACAGAACCTTTCAAATTATTGGAAGATAACAGAGACAAAATACTTGAGGAAACAAGGCACAAACAAAGGTGTCCTGAATAGAACTCAGTGGCCCAGGAAATAATATCAAAAACTGACAAATGGGATCGCATTGAAGTAAAAGCTTCTGCACAGCAAAGGAAACACCAGAGAACGGGAAGCAACAGAGGGTGCGAAGAGACAACATCCAAAATGGTAGAAAATTTGTGCTAGCTACTTTTTTAGTAGAGGACTAATATCTAGATTATATGAATAACTCAAAAAAAATTAACCCTCAAAGCCCAAATGCTCATTAGAAAATAGGCAAATGAGCTGAGCAGATAAGTAAGCACATGGTTGATAATTATATGGAAAAAATGTCATCTTTAGTCATTAGGGAAATGCCAATCAAAAGATTCCATCTCACCCTAGTCAGAATGGCTGTCGTCAAGAACACAATGAATGCTCGTGAGGATATGAGAGAAAAAGAAGCCCTTCTACATTGTTGGTGGGAAGGTGGATTAGTACAACCACCGGAAATAAGTAGGGAGATTCCTCACAAAACTAAATTCCATTTGACCCATATATTCTTTCAGGACTATATTCTGAGCATCTTCCTGAAATAATGAAAGGCATTGTAGATAGTGATAGCTAAATACCCATATTTAGAGGCACAATTCAGAATAGCTAAGTCTGGAAACAGCTTATATATCTGTCAACAGATAAATGGCTAAAGAAAGTATGGTGAGTATATACAACGGTATATTATTTAGTTATAAAAATAAAATTGTGTTGTTTGTAAGAAAATCCATAGTACTCAAGATAAATAAAATAATTAAGCCATACTCAGAAAGTTAACTTATATTTTCTGTTCTATGTAAACCTAAAATAAATGAATGAATAAAATAAATTAGAGATGATAAGAAACTAGAAGTAGACTTCTGGAGATGGGGAAAGGGGAAAGGGAGAGAAGGATAAAGGATTGAAAATGATCAAGATATGTTATATCCATCACTACTTTCCCAAAATAGACATCACTATCCTATATTACAAACAAGTACTAGACAAAATACCAAATAGAGCTGAAAAAAAATCACACAAATACTTCAGCTGTAAAAATATTATAAAAATGATTTACATAAATTTAAATTCATCAACTGCTTAAAAAATTTACAAGTATTTCTAAAATCTGATTGACGATGGGTAGTAATGAGAAAATGGGTATAAAAATACCATTCTGAGGCTCTCCCCCACATGCACATTGGAGCTGAGCTGAACCTCGGACAGCTTTGGGAATGCTGGTGAGCCTCTACCACCACTCCCCCACAAGCTTGGGAGCCAGGCAGTGCCCTGGAGAGTTAGAGGCCTGGGGGCTACTACTTGCTGCCCCTGCTCCCCCTGTTGGAGCTGAGTTGAACCTCAGACAGCTTTGGAAACACCAGTGAACCAGCCCCACCTCTGCCCCACCAGCTTGGGAGCCAGGCAGAGCTCCAGATGGCCTCAAGGGCCTTGGATGCCACCCCCTGCCCCCACCCAGCACCCTCAGGGGAGCTAAGCTGGAACTTAGGTTCAGGGGCCTCAGTGACAGTGCATTTACCCCCCAACACACATTGGTGTGGGAACTCGGCTGGGTCCCAGGCAGTGTCTGGAGCCTCAGTGACCACAACCCTCCCACTACTACACCCCAGTGGAAACACAGCTGAAACCCGGACAGCTGTGGGAACCCCTGAGTGGGAGCCAAGCTGAGACCCGGACAGCTGTGGGAGCACTGGGATCACACTCCACCGACACACACCATTGAGGAAGTCACACCGAGCACCGGGGACTTTTAGGTCCTTGCCCTGCTACTCCGACATCATCCTGGGAGTGAGGCTGAGCTGCAGGGAACCTCTGGATCTCTGAAAATGACAAAACAAAGGAGCAAAATGGAATCTCAGACCTCTACTCCACACAGAACAATTTCAGGAGATATCGACACAGAAAAGCTTGGAAGTCATACACCTGAAATTTCTGAAATGATAGAAGCTGAAGTAAAGAAACAACTCCATCAGACTATAGAAGACATCAGGTCAGAAATAATCTTTGAGGTAAAAAAAGAAAAAAAAAGAAATGGCAACAATAATGAAAGAATTGCTTAGAACATCTAAAGAAGACACAGAAATGAAAATAGAGAAGCACAGTAAATTAATGGAAATGTTGAATGAACAATACAGGAAAGAACTGGAATGCACAAAACAGATTCAAACCAATATCCAGGAAATTAAAATTTCCATTGAAAGCTGGCAAAACCACTTGAATGAAGCTAAAGACAGACTTTCAGAGCTTGAGGACAGCATTGTTGTGAATGACCATGAAAGGAAGCATCTCTCAAAAATAACAAGAAGGCAAGAAATAACAATTCAACAGCAGCAGGAGTAAGCAAAGAAAAACAATGTAAAATTAATAGGTATCAAAGAAACAGCAGGTGTCAGCAGAAATGACAAAAAGACTATTTGCAGAAGTAATAGCAGAAAATTTCCCGAGCATGGAAAAAGAATTGGACATCCAGTAAGTGAGGCATATAGAACTCCAGTTAAACATAACCAAAATAAATCCCAGAAATTCAACAAAAGAACAGAATATTAAAAGCTATTAGAGAAAAGAAACAGATCACCTATAAAGGAAAACCCATCAGAATCACAGCAGATTTCTTAACACAAACCATCAAGTCAAGAAGAGCTTCAAGTGAAATATTTCAGGTCCTGAAAGAAAACAACTTCCAACCCAGATTGATGTACCCTGAAAAACTATCCTTCAAAATTAATGGAGAAATAAAATATTTCCATGACAAAGATCAAATGAAGGACTTCATGAACACCAAACCAACCCTACAAAGAGTATTAAAAGATATTCTAGAAAGGTAAAAAAGACCACAACTTCAAGAACAACAACAGAAACC